AGTAAAAGAATAATAAATAATAAAATAAAATAATCAATATATTAAAAAGAAAAAAAGATAATAAATAATATATATAAATAAAAATCATAAAAATAAAAATGAATAAAATAAATTGCATAAATAAAATAATGTTAAATAATTTGCATCAATAAATTAAACACTTTTTTATTGCATATTTCTAATTTCTATAATAAAAAATACATCCATTATTTCATCATTATTTTCATCATTTATTATCTCATTTTGAATTATTCTTTTTTATCTTCTTTCATTTTATATTCTCAACATTCTACTTTTATTCTTTTCATCTTCTTCTACTTCTTAATTTCACTTTTTTCCTTTATATCATTCTTTCTCTTCATTTTTCTTTTATTTCCTTTTTTTCGTTGCCTTTTCTTTACTATTTATTTCATCAATTTTATTCATTATCTTTTATTTGATGATTTTATAATTGAATATTTTATTAATTTTATCTGATTATCATATATTTAAATATTTATACAAGTTTTCTCTTTCATGTATTGTGACATTTTCATTTCAAGATAGTATTTAATTAATATTATTTATATCCTGATTTCTTTTCAATCATTTATGTATTTTCTTTTTTATTTATTTTATTTGTTGATTATTCTCACTCTTTATTATTTTGTATCATTATTATCATTTATTTATTATATAATGTATGATTTATATTATTTAACTTATATTCATTAATTTGAGAATTTATATTTTTTTGATGATGATAGAGTTGATAATGAATCATAATGTAGAAGTTATTATTTTATATATCATTTATATTCATTATATTTATATCATATGATTATATTCATCATATTTTATATATTATTTATGTTGATTCATTCTATATTAAATTATTTTAATATTTCTATTACTTATTCATGATTAATATGATTCATATTATTTATTAATATCATAATATGAATCTATATACTTTGTATATTTCTCTTCTTTATTTTGATTTAACATATAATTAATAATTAATAATTATTCATTATTATTATCAAGAAATTATAATTTACATTATAATTTATTTTTAATAATTTAAATGATTCATTAATCATATTAATTCTATTATGAATATTCTATTTTAATGATGATATGAATATTTTCATAATTGTATTTATATAATTAATATGATGTTAATTATTGAAATTGTTCATATCATCTCATTTGTTGATTAATATAATTCTTCATTTTACCATATTTAATTTGATATTTTCATTGAAATTTAACTATTCATTAAATATATTAAGAATATATTCTCTTGATGATGATATTCTCTTCATTTAATATAAATATATAATGTCAATTCATGGTTATTTCTAGTATTTATTTTCATCATAATTAAATTTAAATCATCCAATGATGATATTATTATAATTTCTATATCTTTCATTCTAAATTATGATTTGATTTATTTTCATTTATTTAACTTGAATGATGATAGAGTTAAGATATTCATTATCAATATCAGTAGAGTTATTTTTTATGATAATAATTTTTATTATTGGATTACACTCTACTTTCTATGATTAAGTTCATTTTCATTTTAATATATATATTAGTTATTTATTTTATTCTATGTGACTTTTTAATATTATTAATGTATTCTTTATCATTATTTACATTGATATTTATCATTTTTATTATGCTTTCTATTTATTCATTCTTAATTTTTTATTTAATTTTTTATTTAACAAATCAATTGCAAAACAATACAACACATCAATTAAATTTATATTTGTTTGATTTATTGTGTTTTCTTCTCTTCTTGATTGATTATCATTTCTTATTTTTTGATATTTAGTGTTTTGCTTTTTATTTCTAATATTGTATTTTTTTTCATAATGGTAGTTTTGTTTATCTATATTATCACAGATAATGATGTTCTCAATATTTGCTGTGTGTTTATTATTAATATCATTGTTTTCTTCTTCTCAATTTCTGAAATAAAAAATAAATAATAAGTTGATGATGATTTGATATTATTTGTTTTTGTTCTTCATTTTCTCTTTGTGTATGGTCTAGTTCTTTTCTTGTTTTTTCTGCAATCTCATAGTTTTCAATTCCACTTTTTTGATATTCAGTTATTGTTTTTATTTATCTCTTATGTTCTTCAGCGCATCATCATTCTTCATTTTATCCTCATTCAACTTCTCATAATTAACTCAAAGAATGAAGATGACCTCATCTTTATTTCATATTTCTGTGTTATTTCTATTTTATATTTAATTTATTTTTGATTGTAATGAAATATTTTATTATTTTAATTTGGATTTTTCTTATTTCATTAAATGTTGTTTGAATATTCTTTATTTGTGTTTGAATCTTTTCTATTTCTTCTTCAAAATCTTTCCTAACTGTATCTCGTGTTTTTTGAATCATTTCATTTGAGATAATTTGTTCTTATTCATTCTTTTTTTTGTTTGAAATTATTTAATAATTATTCTATTTCTTTAATTTTATTTTGAAGAATGTTCATTTATTATTTGTTATATTCTTTTTACATTTTCTTTTGTGTTTTCCATTTATTTTCTTTTTAATTTATTATTCTTACAGCTTTACATCTATCATTCATTTCTTTGATTCGATTTTTGTTTTTGATTCATTCTTTATTTGTTTTAATATCTTCATCATTTATTTTGTTTTATATTTATTTTCTTTATTATTTTATTATTTATTATTGAATATATTTCTTGGAGAATATTATACCATTTCTTTACCTTCATACTTTTTAAGTAATTCTTCGTATTCTCCTTTCTCCCATTTTCTTGTTATTCTTTTAATTTTCATTTCAATTTCATTTATTGTTAATAATTTAGATTTATTATTTGTGTAATGTTTATTATCATTATATTTACTTTCTTTCTTATTTGTTTTTCTTTGTATTCTTCTCTTTCTATTCACTTTTCTCTTGTTATTTCTTTTATCATTATTATTATGCATTTTATTGTTATTTCATTCTTTCTTTTCTTTGAACTTGAATACCTGTTTCTTGTTTGTTTTTCTTTACAAGACTCTATTATATTACTCAATAGCCATGGTATCAAAATATGTTGCATATTCTGCGTGATAAAAGAAAAAAAAAAAGAAAGAAAAATAAAAATAAAAATAAACAAAAAGTTAAAAAATAAAAATCATTTATTAAAATTTAAAAAAATCTCTTTATTAACATTTCTTAACAAATGCAGAACTCAACCATCCAACTTAATGTAAAAGAAGAAGAAAAACAAGAGAACTGTGATGTTTTAGAAGATAGACAAGAAGGTAAAACAGAAAACATGGAGGTTTATCAGTTAAAATTAGAGGCGATTGAAACAAATAAAAAATTTGCTAAAATTGTAAGTGAAAATGCCAGCCTCAAAGATGAAATTAAAAGTTTGAGTGAACAACTTGATAGAAAAAATCTGGTGGTTGTTGATTGTGAACAACTAAAACAAGAATTAGAAGAAGTCAAGAATAAATTCTCTCAAAATCTAAAAATTATTGAGGAAAAAGAAGATATTATAAAAGAAAAAGATGGAGTCATTGAAAAGAAAGAAAAAGAATGTTACGAGATTCAAAACAAACTTGCCGAAGCTGAAAAAATCATCAAAGAGAAAAGTGATGAAATTATCATGGTTCAAAAAGAATTAGAAGAAACAAACTCAACTCATGAAACAATTGTAAAAGGTTTAGAAGACGAAATTGCTCAACTCCAGAAAGAAGGAGAAGAAAAAGAAGAAACAATAAATAAAATAAACGAAGAAAAAAGAGCATTAGAAGAGCATTCACTCTTAGAAGAATCAACAAGAACAAATTTAAAAGAAGAAAACATTTTATTAAACAGTATTATTAATGCAATGAAAACAACAAAAATAAATAATAACACTACCACAGATCAACCAAATCAAGAGAAAGAACAAAATAAAGATACTGTTTACAAAACTAATCAAAACATAGAAAAAATTAATGAAGTTAATATTGATCTTCAAAATAAAGTACTTGAACTTGAAAACTATATTAAACAAAAGGACGAAGATATTAATCAAATCAAACAATTAATAGAGCAAGAAAGAAAAAGTATGGCCGAAAAATCTCAAAACGACGAAGAAACTATTGATAACTTAACAAAAGAAAATCAAAGACTTAAAAATTATATTGAACAAACCCCAATAAATCAAAAGAGTCAAGAAACTTCCACCAAAGAATTACCACCACTCAATAAAGAAAGTAGTAGTGCTAATGGAATTGATGATATACCAATTGAACCAGAAATTATATCTGTTGACATTCCAATCCATCATTACTTCACTGGGTATCAAGAAGAAATAGAAATAAATGGACAAATATTTACTGTCCCAATCACTGTTGGATTATCAGATGGTGCTGAATTTAATTACAAAGGATATGGAACACCAGTTAATGGAAGAAAAAGGGATTTGATTATCGTTACCAATACACAACAAACAGAAAGTTATCAACGACAAGAAAATAACCTTTTCCAAAGTGTTGCTATTCCACAAGCTTATAGAAACCAAATGTTCCAATGCTCTATTCCATGTATTGACGGAGACACTATTCCTGTTATGATAACAGGGCAAGAAGGAGTACAAGGGCCATATGAGGGATATGGTATGCCAATTGGAACAACTGGAAAAAGAGGAGATTTATATCTCATAATCAAGTTTAATTAAGTTTCTTTAAAATTCAATTTATTTTTACTTGGTTATTAATAAAAATAAAGAAATTAAATATGAAATATTTATGATTATGTTTTCATCATATTGAGAAGTGATTATTTCACTTTATTCTTCATGTTTTATTTTTATTCATTTATTGTTTTTTTCAATCATTTTCAATTTAAATATTTCATCATTTAATTCGTTATCTGATTTTTATTTTGAAATAAATGAATATTAAAATTCATCATTATTTATATTGTTATTTTATGTTTGATATATCAATAACATTATGATTATGGTTTATCTCATTTATCATCAATATTGTTTAAATAATCTTTCTTGATAACACATCATATATTCAATTCAAAAGTATCAATGATAAATATCTGCATCATAATAAATAATAATACTACCATCATAATAAATAAATAATCTTATATCATAACAATAATCGTAACAAATAATCAGTTTTGAGTAAGACGTTATCTCACCAAAGGTACGTCATACTAGACGATAATTGGAGATTCGAAGCTTGGATAATATGGGTTCCATGCAGTGTCTCTGATGTACTACCTTCTAATCCTTTTTACTTGGTTATTAAATAAAAAATATCAATTAATAGATATATCCACAATTTGATTTTATGATTATTGAGAAGTGATTGTTTCAGTGATTTTAATATGTTCTATTTCTACAATAGAGTTCACTTCTAAGATATGAGAATTAGAGTGTTCATCTTCTAATGTGTTGCCAGTGTTGAATATGCAGAACATTAAGTATTTCATGTTTTTTATAATGATTGTTCGTAGTATTTTGGGGAAGTTGATTTGTAATTTTAGTGTTTTTAATCTTCTTACTGTTTCTTTATGTATTAATTTGATTGTTAATATTACAAGTATTATTTCTACATAAATTAATTCTCTACTTTGTCTTAGCTTCTCTTGTAATTATTTGTATTTATTCAATTTGTAAATATAATTTAATTCAATGTTTCTATCTTGACATATGGCAACATCAATAATATATCCTTTTTTTCATTGATGATTTGATAATATATATCTGGTATTCTAACATTAAAAGAATTGTCACTAACCAATAAATCATTAATGTAAGTTATAACCATTTCATTATTATTAATACACTTAGGATATGTATTAAAATCTATTTCATCAAATTCATTAAAATAATTAATATATGTTTATATATTTGTTTACATACATAATCGTGTTTTGATATTTGATTCTTCTTCATTACAGGACATCCTAACAAAATGTGGCTAATAGATGGAATTGTGTTAGGATAATGTTTACAATACTTTAAAGCATCAGAATGGAGTATTTTAGATTTAATATTTCCTGTCATAGTTACTCCTTCTTGCATCTTTACTACTTGGAAGAATGTATTTCTTTTTATATTTAATGACATCCATGTGGCTACTGTTAATTTCTTATTATTAAATATACAATTTACATTTCTTATATATTCACTACATTTCTTTCCATTCATTTAAATATCTTTCATTTATTTTATTTGTTACAAATTCAAATACTTTGCTTACATCATGTTTTATTTCATTTAACTGTATTATATTCATTAATTCATTGAAATTAATATTCTTACCAAATACTCTCTTCATTCTTTTAATTATTCCATTTGGATTCTCTTTTACTGCCTCTATCATTTCTCTTATTTCTGTATTTGATCTCCATTTATATTTTAAATATATTCTTAATAATTCCTTAGCACATTCATCTCGTGCTGACATTAATCCCATTCATAATTCATTTATTGTAACATATAATCTACTTTTATTGATGTTTATATTGTATAGTTGGAGTTGTATCAATGCCTTTCTTATTTGTTTATCTATATTCTCAAACTCACCAAGTTTCCATTTAACAATACAGAATCAATATCTTAATTTGGAGATTATATCGCTATTAATCTTTCTAATTGTATTGAGGCTGCTATATTTCATAATATTTAATGATGATAGAATAGAAGATACATCATTTAATAATCATGTACAATATTTATTAATATTTATTTTATCTCTTATTTCAATACCAAGATATTTATAATGATTATCATTAGTTACTCTTGGTAATTCAGCTAATTCTCCATTTATCTGACCATTGATATTAGTCATTATCCCACTCTTTTCTATATTTATTTTTAATCATATTCTATTAAATATTTCTTTTGTTAATTTGTGGGATTTTTCCATTTCTTCGAGGCTGTTAGTTATTATATTTAAATCATCAATATATATATGTGGTTTAACTGTACTTGTTTTTCTTCTCCATTCATTTTAATAGATAACTTATTAATTTGTTTATCTAATTGTTTAGATAATATAACAATAGATAATACAAATAATAATTTAGATAAATTATCATATTGTATTATTCATCTTTCTACATTAATTATACATTCATTTTGTTGATTATAATATAATTGGAGTTGTGTAATAATTAATAAATATAATATACTTTTAATTACAACTAATGTGATATTAAAATAAATTAAACAATGTTTAACCCATTGATGATTAATACTATCATATGCTTTAGAAATATCATAATATGTTTCTACCCACTTCCATTTAGCATTAATTAATAACTGAATGATTATGGTATTGTATAATAATCCTTCTTTTGATAATATGTATATTTTTTACATCAAATTTGATTTTGTGATAATTGTTTTTCAATTGGATTTATCATCAGTTGGCTTTCTATCTTCATCTTTAATAAAGATGTGTATACTTTTAACAGACAGTTTAAACAAGTTATTGGTCTGTAATTTTGTTTATCTAATTTATCTCATTTCTTGTATATTAATATTGTTCTTCATTTGATAAATTGAATATAGATATCATTATGATTATACAACCATTCATTAAATAATTTTAATAAGAAATTCTTTTGTCGTTCTAAATATTTAATCCAGAAGCCTTGTATTTTATCAATTCCAGGTGATTTCCAATTAGCAATGAATTTTATTGCATGATTTAATTCATCAAAAGTGATTATATACATTCTATTATTAATTCTATTTTCAATTAATATGTCATATAAATTAATATTTATGAAATCTATATTAGTGTTATTTTCATAGATTCATTTCCAGAAATTAATTGTGGTAATATTATCTGGATATTCATCTTCTTTATGTTTATTTAGAGTTATCTCTTTCAATATTTTATCATTTTATAATTCCATCTTATTCTTTTCAATTTATTCTTACTTCTATTTCTATTCTTTTCATTCTTTGGAGGTATTTGTAATAGTTTATTTGCTCATTTGTTTTTACTTTAATATGATATATATTATATTTTTTAATATGTAATATTCTTTTTAATTTCATATATTGATTATTATGGAGTAAATCTCTTAATCTATATATTTTTGATTGTAATATTCTTTCTATATTTCTCATTCAATTTCTTTCTTGATTGTTATTAATAATGATGTTAATAGTTGAGGTTACAGTTTTAATATAAAGATAATAATCATCTAATGTAATGATTAATATTTCATTTGTATTAATGATATTAATTATTTGATGTACTTTGTTTTTATTGTAATAATAATTAATAAATTGTACATATTCTTGTTCTTTCATTTCTTCTTTGAATATTCTTATTACCTCTTGTATTTCTTGTTTCTTATTTATTTTATTAATTCTTTTAATTTAATATCTTTCCATTGGTGTGTTATTATTTCTTCTTCCATTCTTCTATTGACTTCAATTTTAATTTCATTCTTTATTTTATATGTTTTCTTTATTATTTCTTTATATTCATTAATATCTTCTATTTTAATATCAATTTCATGTATTAATCTTTTTATTTCTTCTTCTTTAAGTTGATTTCTTAATTTTATTTCTAATAACTTCAGTGCAAAACATTTATAGAATGTTAGAATTTATTCTTCTCTATTTGTTTGCTTCCCCCGTTTTTTTGATTGTCATGATCAGATGTGGTGATCTTCTTATACTGATTTCCCATCTCTTCGATTGAATTCTGTATTAACTTTCTTTTTTTGGAAGATCATCTTCATTTGATGATATTTCATCAGCTACTACAACATTGGGGGTGAGGTCATTCACAATTTGTGTTTCAGATGAGTCTGATATAATGTGATTTATCTCTTCTTTCTTCTTTTCTTCTTGTGTAATTTTATTTTATAATTTAGATAATTTATCTTTCATGAAGTATACTTGTTGTGATAAATTGCTTACTTCAGACCTTTTCCTTTCTGATTTAGCATTGAATTCGAATAATTTTCTATCACCTTCTTGTTTTTTAGTGTTTATCTCATTCTCATGTTTCTTCTTTAATGAAATAATATCATTTGATAATTTATTAATAGTCTGGTCATTCTTTTGTATTTCTTCTTTTCTTCTTTCTCTTTAATAGCCTCTTCTTTTCTTTAATTCTTCTATTCTTTTATCTTTTTCATTGTTCTTTTCTTCTTCTTCTTTTAATTTCATCTTTTCTTTTTCATTATGCCTCTTCTTCTCTTCAGTAAATTCATTTTTATTATCATTTTCAACATTGTATATTTCTTATTTAAGTATTTATCATTTATTTCATTTTGATTTAGTTGTTTATCATCTTCTTCAAGTGTCATACTGATTGTTTCTCTATTCTATTCATTTTTGTTTTTTCTCTTACAAGTAAATACCATCTTCTCATTATTGTTGATGGT